ATCTTTAATTTCCTCATCTTTGGCTTTGGTGGTTGGTGCATAAATCTTAATAATAGTTGTATTAACGGGTCTTCCTTGTAGGCATACGGATATGATCCTATCACTGACAGCATTGTACTTCAGGACAGATTTTGAAACATCCTTTGTGATGATGAATGCCACCATTCCTCTTCAAACTGTCATTCTCAGCATAGTAGATCATATGGTTGTCTGATTCAAAATGGCCAAAACCAGTCCATGTCAGCTCAGTAATGCCGAGGATATCAATCTTTATGTGTTCCATTTCATTTTTGACAACTTCCAAGTTTTCTAGACGCATACCTTGTACATTCCGTGTTCCATGTTGCCGCTGTTTCTCCTCAATTTGAGTGGTGCCACATCAGCAAATGGGGGTCTTGAAAGCCCTACCCTATGCATATGAGTAAGGCTGCTTTTACTCTGATAATGCAGCTTTTGCCCAGTCCTAGTTTGAGAGCTTTCTAACCTAACTGACTCATCTTCCTCCTCTGTATTGGACAGTGTTTCATAAAGTTGTACATCCTTATGTATCAGACAGTAATGTATCAGACAGTGTTTCTGTGCAATTCATAAGATCTTCCCTGGTCAATTCTTTGAGAAGTGGATGGCCTCCTCCTCCTTCTAGTCTCAGTCTGCAACCAGGCTGATACCTGTGCACCATGTGCACCCCACTGGGTTTGAAACACCAGTAGCACAGCCTCAAGACTCACAGCAACACGTCACCACAGTAGGACAAACCAACAGACAAGTTTGTCTCCCTTAGCTGTTGGAAACCCCTCCAGCCACTCTCACCGGGATCCCTGGGGCTGCCTCTTCAATCTGTTCCAGTCCCCTTTGCCTCTCTGTCCACTTATGGGACATGGCCTGGATTCCCTCTCCTCACCTGGATCCCTGCGGCTGACTCCTCTGGTTAAGAAATTACCTACAACTAAAACCCCAAACCATACCCACTGCCATGGAGTCCATTCCAACTCATAGCGCCCCTAGAGGACAGAATGGAACTGTCCCACAGGTCTCCAAGGCTGTAAATCTTAACAGAAGCAAAGCCCAAACCACACCCACTGCCGCGGAGTTGATTCTGACTCACAGCGCCCCTAGAGGACAGAGTGGAACTGCCCACAGGGTCTCGAAGGCTGTCAATCTTCACAGAAGCAAAGCCCAAACTACACGCACTGCTGTGAAGTCCATCCCAACTCACAGAGCTCCTAGAGGACAGAGTGGAACTGCCCCCATACGTTTCCAAGGCTGTCATCTTTATGGAAGCAACCTGCCTCATCTTTCTCCTGTAGACTGGTTGATGGGTTTGAACCACTGACCTTTTGGTTAGCAGCCCAGTACTCTAACCACAGAGCCATCAGAGCTCCATTACGAACAAAGGGTTCAGAGGTTTTTCATGCTCCCTTGCAGGGAGGTATCACTGTGTGGCCCCAATTCCAACTCCTTGGGCGATGCAGTTAGAGCTGGATTACCAGACCAAAGGCTGGCAGTTCGAACCTAGGAAAACAGGCCTGGCCATATGCTTTTGAAAGGTCAAAACCCTGAAAACCCTACTGAGCAGTTGTGCTCTGTCGCGTGGGGTCGCCACGGAAACAGAACAGCTGCGGTCGCCTGCACTCCATTCTCTTCTCCGTTCCTCAGTCATTCCCACCACAGACAACTGTAGGATCCCATGAAACGCACATCTCTGAATTTACGCTAGTACGGATCGCCTCCGGCAGGTCGAGAAACGCAGGCTCCTGGCCCCAAGGACACACTGGGCAGGCGCGGTCTCCAGGTGAGGAGCCTGCAAACGACAGTCCTGGTCCCAGGTCCCCGGCGCGGCCCCCAAGTGGGAATCCCAGCCTCCAGCCCCGCCCCAGGTCCCTGGAGCTCCGCGTCAGCCGTGCCATCACGCATGGGCTCGGGAGGTGAGGCCCGAGAAGCGCCGCGACGACGCCGGGATGAGGTCTCCGCCCGCCCCTGGAGCCCCCGCCACACCTCCCACCGCCCCGGGAGTGTACTAACCTCGCCGCTCCGCTCCTTCGCAGACCCCGCGCGATTCCTCGGCGAGCAGCCACTAGGCTAGCATTCGTCCGGAAGCCGGACGGCGGAAACGGAACACAGAGGCGAAGCCCTTGCCCGAACCAAACATGGCCACGTAAAGCCCAGGTCGCCGTTGCGGTGAGCGCGCCCTGACCGGACTAAAGATGGCTGCAACCGGCAGTGCACTCCCGGGGGCGGGGCGCGGGGGCGGGCTCGGATTTCTCCGCCCCGCGCCCCACCCCCTTTCGTCAGGGCGCTGATCCGGGGCCTTCCCATTGGCCGCTTTCGTGGCGAATCCAGATTGGGCCACGTGAGGACTGGGTGGAACCCGCCGGCCAATCGCGGCGCGCGCGCTGGCGGCTGGGCGGGGTCTCGCCGACGCCGTGAAGTATCCCCGGGAACGGCCGGCGCGCCTTGAAGCCGGTGTGCCGGCCGGGCCGCGGTCTTGGGGAGCTGCGCGTCTCCCCATACCGCAGAGCCATGCGCCTTCCGCCTCCTGCTGCGCTGGGTTTCCTGTTACTGCTGCTGTCGCTGCTGCCTGCAGCTAAAGTCACCAAGAAATTGACGCCCTGCGCGAGGTGCCAGGAGCTGGTGGACAAGTTTAATCAGGTTGGCGGGGGGCCGCCTCACCCCGCGATGGGGGCCGGGTTCCCCCCGTGATGGGGGGATGGGGAGCCCCTTCCCCCAGCAATTGGGTCGGGGGGGCCGGGCTTCCCCCGCTGTGGGGGACCAGGGGGCCGGGCTAACCCGGTGGAGGCCGAGGACCGAGTTTACCCCGCTATGAGGATCCCAGGGGCGACGAGAGGGCCGGGTGGATCAGAAGGTTGGAGATCCTAGAGGTGCCAGGGTTCCTGGAAGAGCAGTTCATGCCTTATTGGTTCTGTTGTGCAGGGCATGGTGGACACAGCGAAGAAAAACTTTGGTGGAGGGAACACTGCGTGGGAGGAAAAGTCATTGTCCAAGTATGAGTTCAGGTGGGTGCTCTTGCTGCCCCCGGAGCCTGTGCTGGGAGCCCAGCGTCCAGTCTGGGCCTCTTGAGTTCCCGTGAGCGCTCCACAGCTGGGGGCAGCTGCCTGCCCTGGCGTCCCCCAGCACGCGGCCTCTGTGCATGCCTCCGCTATGGGGCTTTACAGATGTGAGTACCAGTCTACCCTGGTGAAACCCCAGTGGAACTAGCTCCCCTCCAGTGGCAGACCAGCCCCCCTCTCCTCTGCCCAGAGCTTGGTTCTTGTATCCTGCAGGTGGGCTCCCTTCAGCTCCGAGGCTGCCCACTTGTTGGCCTGGCACCTGGCGCCTCCTGGCTCCTGTCACCTGGGGTCTCCCTCTGCAAGGACAGTAGGACTTCCCAGTTTCAGTGTCGGTATTCCCGGCACCCTTGTCCCCGCCCTCCAGGGGTCTGGGATGTTCACATGAGTGACCCCGTGTTTCAGTGAGGTCCGCCTGGTGGAGATCCTCGAGGGCCTATGTGACAGCAGCAACTTCGAGTGCAACCAGATGCTGGAGGAGCAGGAGGGGCACCTGGAAGCCTGGTGGCTGCATCTGTAAGTCCCTCCCCCGCCGTCACAGTCACCTGTCTTCTCATAGCGGTCCCAGAGGCAGGCGGCGTCAGTCAGTGCCCAGAGCTGCCCTGCACCACCCCTTCGCCCGCGTGCTGGTCTCCTCAGTGGGGCGTCAGCACAGTGCAGTTATCCAGACGAGGAAACGGTCTCACACATGGTGACCGACGCGCTGCGGGCCTGTTTCCTAGTTGCCCCACAGAGCCCTTGTTCAAGCGTGGGTTCCACTGTCACGGGAGCTGTCTGTCCCCTTCGTTCTCTCCGGTCAGGGCCATCCCTCAAGCTTTCTTTATTCTTTGGGCACCTCTGAAGACCCCCGACCAGTAGGAATTCCAACGGCTGCCCAAATCATGGCCTGGTGACCCGGCAGGGGGATCCACGGTCTCAACATAGCTGTTTGGACTGTGAGGAAGCACTGTGTTGACTTCACCAAACAGGCCAGGTTCTGGAAGATTCCACTGCCACCCTAAAGTGCCCCTTCCCGGTCTGTCGGGTGCCGGGAGCACATTGGGTCAGACCACATTCCTGTTTCTTGATGTCGTCCATTTGAGCATTTGGGTGTTGGTTTGCTGACCCTCTTCTGGCCCTGTAGGCAGAAGCAGTCCCCGGATTTGTTCCAGTGGTTCTGCGTGGAGACGCTGAAGGTCTGCTGTCCTGCTGGGACTTATGGGCCCGACTGTCTGGGTATGCTTCCTCTCAGGGAATCTGGTGGTCCCTTAGCCCCCAGTGTCCTGGCAGAGGGGTGTGTAAAGGTACCAGGGAGCCATAGGCATGCAAGTGCCCATCGCCCTTCCCCAGTGGGCTCTACGGCTCCCACAAAACACTCAAATAAGAGATCTCAATGTCCACGCTTTGTAAACCAATAACCGGCAGAGACAGGACCTGCCACTCTAGATGTAAAAAAACAAACTCACTGCCATCAAGTCGGATCTGACTCACAGCAACCTTTCCTTGGGTTTTTGAGGTGGTATCACTATGGGTGTAGATTGCCCAACCTTTCTTCTAAGGAGTGGCTGGTGGGTTTGAACCATCAGCCTTCTGGTTAGCAGTCAAGTGCCTCAGGCACTACTCTGCCATAGCCACCCAGGCTGCAGGAGGAGGCGTGGTGTGGGGGCGGAGTCCCTCTGGTGGGCAGGGCCATGGATGTCATAGTCCTGGCAGGACTATGACAGCAGCCTTCCATTTTAGCTGGAGAGATCCTCCTTTGGGGCATCACATGGCGTGTTCAACCACAGTGTTCTGTGAGCTCATCCAGGGAGACCCTCTGAGAGCTGCCCCCTCAGGCCGAGGACAGCCTCGTGGCACCGAGCCCTGGCTGTGCACTCCCAGTGCCATCAGGGACAGCAGCGGCCACGTGCGGTGGCTGTGGGCTGTGGGCCGCCGGGCCACTGTCAGGCCGTGCAGACTGCGGGTAGAGCTGCAGTGGGTCCAGGGTGTGAGTCGTGGACAAGCTTGTGTCGTCAGAGCCGAGGTCCCTCTGACAAGTCAGTCCTGCTGCTTAGCCAGGACTCAGTGTCATCTTGTCTTTGAGTTCAGTGTCC